TGATGGTCCCTACTTAGTGTCGTTATATTATCTCCTTGATCCTGATTGTGTCGCAGTCGCTTGTTATATGGCTATTGGGCTTAGCATTCTTTTCATTGTTCAAGAAGACTGTTCTGGTTGCCAGTCGGTCAAGAAGTTAGTTTATGTGAGGACTTTGTCAGTCACTTGTTTAAGTCTAGTCGAGTCGTGAGACATAGTGAACTACTTAGAGCACTTACATACATACACACTTACTTGTACATATTTGTAATATCTTATTAAATGTTAATGTACCACAAGGTACTTAAGAATTATAAATGTGATATGTGCTTTCAGCACAATAATATTGAACTCGAGAGATGTGATATTATTTTGATTACAGTGGACCCCCGCATAACGATGGCATCGCATAGCGATTTTTCCGCATAACGATTACTTTTATCGCAAAATTTTTGCCGCGCATACCGATTAAAAACCCGCATACCGATTTTCGTCCGAGACGCGTCCAATGTGCCCTCAGCCAGCCTCACATGTGCCGCTCCGTCCCATTGTTTACCAGCCAGCCTCCGCGGTAACATCCAAGCATACACTCGGAATATTTCGTATTATTACAGTATTTTCGGTGCTGTTTCTGGAAAATAAGTGACCATGGGCCCCAAGAAAGCTTCTAGTGCCAACCCTGTGGTAAAAAGGGTGAGAATTAGTATGGAAATTAAGAAAGATTTTGAAGGGTTTGGGGCTAACCCTGAGAAGCCTATGCCAGTTGTGGAATCCATTGTGCCTACTTCAAAGATTAAGGAAATGTGTGCAGAGTGGGTTGAACTGCAAACCTTTATAGATGAAAATCACCCTGACACAGCTGTTGCAAGCCGTGCTGTGACTATTTCAATGACAATGTTATGGCCCATTTTAGGAAAGTCTTGAAGGAACGGGAGGTACAGAGCTCTATGGACAGATTTGTTGTGCGACAGAGGTCCAGTGACTCTCAAGCTGGTCCTAGTGGCATTAAAAGAAGAAGGGAAGTAACCCCAGAAAAGGACTTGCTACCTCAAGTCCTAATGGAAGGGGATTCCCCTTCTAAACAGTAAGAAGATAATGCTCTCCCCTCCTCCCATCCCATCAATCATCACCAGATCTTCAATAAAAGTAAGTGTCATGTAATTGTGCATGCCTTTTTCAGTTTGTGTGTATTAAAATTAACATTTCATGTGGTAAAAAAAAATTTTTTTCATACTTTTGGGCGTCTTGCACGGATTAATTTTATTTCCATTATTTCTTATGGGGAAAATTCATTCGCATAACGATTATTTCGCATAACGATGAGCCCTCTTGCACGGATTAAAATCGTTAACCGGGGGTCCACTGTACTGTGATTAATTTAATTTAATTTAATTTGATAATATACCTCTAGACAACTTAATGATTAATAAATTTATTAAATTTTAATTTCTCTAGTTAGTAGCCTACCAGTTGTAATCCTGAAGCACTATTGAATAATACTGAATTTTAATGGATAATTGGACAAGGATACTGACTACTTGTTACGAAAACCCAGTAACAGGCTGGATGCTAGAAGGGCAGTCCTTTCTAGTATTCACTGGAGATCTCTAAGCTTTTAGAATCGCGTTTTTTGTAACAGATGCCAATCCCATGATGAAACTCTTCAGGTCACTTGTTCTATATAGGCTGGAATATTGCTGCACAGTAGCAGATGACCTAGAAAATGTACAGAGAACTTTCATGGAACACATAACTGCGTTAAAACACCTGAATTACTGGGAATGCTTGAAGTTCCTTAACCTGTACTCCCTAGAACATAGGTGGGAGAGATACATGATGATATACACTTGGAAAATCCTAGAGGGATTAGTATCAAACTTGCAAAAGAAAATTACTCACTACAAAAGCAAAAGACTCAGCAGACAATGCAACATCTCCCCAATGAAAAGCAGGGGCGACACTAGTACGATTAGAGACAACACAATAAGTGCCAGAGGCCCCAAGACTGTTCAACTGCCTCCCAGCATACATAAGGGGGATTACCAATAGACCCCTGGCTGTCTTCAAGAAGGCGCTGAACAGGCACCTAAAGTCAGTACGTGATCAGCCGAGCTGTGGTTCATACGTCAGGTTGTGTGCAGCCAACAGTAACAGCCTGGTTGATCAGGCCCTGATCCACCATGAGGCCTGGTCACAGACTGGGCCTCAGGGGTGTTGACCCCCAAAACCCTCTCCAGGCATAAATAATTAAAAAAACTGCAAATATGAAAAAGGAGGGGTGTTAATGTTGCAGTTTAAAAACTGTAGTGTAAAGCACCCTTCTGGCAAGACAGTGATGGAGTGAATGATGGTGAAGTTTTTCTTTATCAGGCCACCCTGCCTTGGTGGGAATCGGCCAGTGTGATAATAAAATAATAATATATGAAAAAAATAATTTTACAATCAAATCTAGCACAGAATTCCTCAAATCTGTTAACAAAAAGGGTGCATTACATATTTAGTTCAGAGGAAAAATAGATAACATACCTTGTAAATTGTGTGTAAGCCTATTACAGCAACTTTTCTTCTTTTAGTCACTAAGATGATGTAGTATCCCTCTAAGAACCTTACAAACCCAACAATCCCAAATGCTGATACAGTTCTTGATAGTCCAAACATTTGTCGTTGACCAGACTGTGCTCGGTTACCTTCATTGATCATGCCCAACAATTCTTTAATTTGTCTTTGGCTATATTCTACCTGCAAATTAAAGGGACAAATAATTATAATATCATAAATTTGGCTTCATCCAAACTCGCATTAAATCTTTTTAGGAAATGTGTGATTCCCACACCTCGAGCTATCTTCCTGGGTCATTCTTCTTATGTAAATTAATACTAATGCACAATTACACAAATTAGTACTAATGCATGATTAGACCAATATTTAAATACAACATACTGCACTTGAGTTGACTACATACAAAAACAGTTATTATATACAGCGTGTGCACACAGATATAAGCTAATTAATGCATCAAGCACTACCTTGGTAATAAACTAATATAAACAACTAGTTTCTGTCTGTGGAAACCTGGAAAAGTGAATAAATTTCTCACCTTATCATCGGTAATATTTAGTGTGTGAGACTCGGTACGGTCAATTTTTAACACTCTGAACTTTGTTTGGGTGTTGTTGGAACAATCAAGTACAGCCTCTGGAATGTATATAAACATGTCAGGATATTTGAATTACCCTTTTTGTTAACAAATAAGAATAGGAAAGTAACAAACTGAGTCAATACCATACATACTGAGACAAGAGGTTTAAAAAGAAATGTAGGCTAAAAATGTTAGTCTTGTAAATTTCACTATTCATTATTGATTTGTTTATTATCATGGTTACACAGTATACACAGTACATAAATTTGAGTTAAGTAAATTCCTACTCTAAAACATTTTCTATAGATTACAGATATTATAGGTAGTAGGTTGGTAGACAGCAACCACCCAGGGAAGTACTACCGTTCTGCCAGATGACTGTGAAACAGAAACCTGTAACAGTTTTGCATGATGGTAGGATTCCTGGTTTCTTTTTCTGTCTCATAAACACGCTAGATAACAGGGATATCTTGATACCCCTACTTACACCTTGGTCACACTTCACAGACACACACTTGCATATATATATACATACATCTAGCTTTTTTCTCCTCTTTCTAAATAGCTCTTGTTCTTCTTTATTTCTTCTATTGTCCATGGGGGAAGTGGAAAAGAATCTTTCCTCCGTAAGCCATGCGTGTCATATGAGGCGACTAAAATGCCGAGAGCAATGGGCTAGTAACCCTTCTCCTGTAGACATTTACTAAAAAAGAGAAGAAGAAAAACTTTATAAAACTGGGATGCTTGAATATGCGTGGATGTAGTGCGGATGACAAGAAACAGATGATTGCTGATGTTATGAATGAAAAGAAGTTGGATGTTCCTGGCCCTAAGCGAAACAAAGCTGAAGAGGGTAGGGGGAGTTTTGGTGGGGGGAAATAAATGGGATTAAATCTGGAGTATCTGAGGAGTTACAACAAAGGAAGGGGTAGCAGTAATGTTGAAGGATCAGTTATGGAAGGAGAAAAGAGAACATGAATGTGTAAATTCAAGAATTATGTGGATTAAAGTAAAGGTTGGATGCGAAAAGTGGGTCATAATAAGCGTGTATGCGCCTGGAGAAGAGAGGAATGTAGAGGAGAGAGAGAGATTTTGGGAGATGTTAAGTGAATGTATAGGAGCCTTTGAACCAAGTGAGAGAGTAATTGTGGTAGGGTCCCTGAATGCTAAAGTAGGAGAAACTTTTAGAGAGGGTGTGGTAGGTAAGTTTGGGGTGCCAGATGTAAATGAAAATGGGAGCCCTTTGATTGAACTTTGTATAGAAAGGGGTTTAGTTATAGGTAATACATATTTTAAGAAAAAGAGGATAAATAAGTATACAAGATATGATGTAGGGTGAAATGACAGTAGTTTGTTGGATTATGTATTGGTAGATAAAAGACTGTTGAGTAGACTTCAGGATGTACATGTTTATAGAGGGGCCACAGATATATCAGATCACTTCCTAGTTGTAGCTACACTGAGAGTAAAAGGTAGATGGGATACAAGGGGAATAGAAGCATCAGGGAAGAGAGAGGTGAAGGTTTATAAACTAAAAGAGGAGGCAGTTAGGGTAAGATATAAACAGCTATTGGAGGATAGATGGGCTAATGAGAGCATAGGCAATGGGGTCGAAGAGGTATGGGGTAGGTTTAAAAATGTAGTGTTAGAGTGTTCAGCAGAAGTTTGTGGTTACAGGAAAGTGGGTGCAGGAGGGAAGAGGAGTGATTGGTGGAATGATGATGTAAGGGAGAAAAAGTTAGCATATGAGAAGTTTTTAAAAATGTAGAAGTGATGCAAGGAGGGAAGAGTATATGGAGAAAAAGAGAGAGGTTAAGAGAGTGGTGAAGCAATGTAAGAAGAGAGCAAATGAGAGAGTGGGTGAGATGTTATCAACAAATTTTGTTGAAAATAAGAAAAAGTTTTGGAGTGAGATTAACAAGTTAAGAAAGCCTAGAGAACAAATGGATTTGTCAGTTAAAAATAGGAGAGGAGAGTTATTAAATGGAGAGTTAGAGGTATTGGGAAGATGGAGGGAATATTTTGAGGAATTGTTAAATGTTGATGAAGTTAGGGAAGCTGTGATTTCGTGTATAGGGCAAGGAGGAATAACATCTTGTAGGAGTGAGGAAGAGCCAGTTGTGAGTGTGGTGGAAGCTCGTGAGGCAGTAGGTAAAATGAAAGGGGTAAGGCAGCCGGAATTGATGGGATAAAGATAGAAATGTTAAAAGCAGGTGGGGATATAGTTTGGAGTGGTTGGTGCAATTATTTAATAAATGTATGGAAGAGGGTAAGGTACCTAGGGATTGGCAAAGAGCATGCATAGTTCCTTTGTATAAAGGCAAAGGGGACAAAAAGAGAGTGCAAAAATTATAGGGGGATAAGTCTGTTGAGTATACCTGGTAAAGTGTATGGTAGAGTTATTATTGAAAGAATTAAGAGTAAGATGGAGATAGGATAGCAGATGAACAAGGAGGCTTTAGGAAAGGTAGGGGGTGTGTGGACCAGGTGTTTACAGTGAAACATATAAGTGAACAGTATTTAGATAAGGCTAAAGAGGTCTTTGTGGCATTTATGGATTTGGAAAAGGCATATGACAGGATGGATAGGGGAGCAATGTGGCAGATGTTGCAGGTGTATGGTGTAGGAGGTAGGTTATGAAAGCAGTGAAGAGTTTTTACGAGGATAGTGAGGCTCAAGTTAGAGTATGTTGGAAAGAGGGAAATTATTTCCCAGTAAAAGTAGGCCTTAGACAAGGATGTGTGATGTCACCGTGGGTGTTTAATGCATTTATAGATGGGGTTGTAAGAGAAGTAAATGCGAGGGTCTTGGCAAGAGGGGTGGAGTTTAAAAAAAAGAATCCACATAAAGTGGGAGTTGCACAGTTGCTCTTTGCTGATGACACTGTGCTCTTTGGGAAAATTCTGAAGAGAAATTGCAGGATTTGTGGATGAATTTAGAGGGGGTGAAAGAAAAAAATTAAAAGTAATACAGGGGAAAAGTAAGGTTTTGAGGATAACAAAAAGATTAGGGTGAAAAAATTTGGGTTCAGATTGGGGGAGAGAGTATGGAGGAGGTTAATGTATTCGATATTTGGGAGTGGATTTTCGGGATGGGTCTTGAAAGATGAGGTGAAACATAGAATTTTGAGGGGGAAAAGGGTGAGGGTGCATTAGGAGTCTGTTGAGAAAAAACTTTGTCCTTTGGGGGCAAAAAAGGGGAATGTAGAGAGTATAGTTTTACCAATGCTCTTGTATGGGTGTGAAGCATGGGTGATGAATGTTGCAGCGAGGAGAAGGCTGGAGGCAGTGGAGATGTCATGTCTGAGGGCAATGTGTGGTGTGAATATAATGCAGAGAATTCGTAGTTTGGAAGTTAGGAGGAGGTGTGGGATTACCAAAACTGTTGTCCAGAGGGCTGAGGAAGGGTTGTTGAGGTGGTTCAGACATGTAGAGAGAATGGAGTGAAACAGAGTGACTTCAAGAGTGTATCAGTCTGTAGTGGAAGGAAGGCGGGGTAGTGTCGGCCTAGGAAAGGTTGGAGGGAGGGGGTAAAGGAGGTTTTGTGTGTGAGGGGCTTGGACTTCCAGCAGGCATGCGTGAGCGTGTTTGATAGGAGTGAATGGAGACAAATGGCTTTTAATACTTGACATGCTGTTGGAGTGTGAGCAAAGTAACATTTATGAAGGGGTTCAGGGAAACCGGCAGGCCGGACTTGAGTCCTGAAGATGGGAAGTACAGTGCCTGCACTCTTAAGGAGGGGTGTTAATGCTGCAGTTTAAAAACTGTAGTGTAAAGCACCCTTCTGGCAAGACAGTGATGGAGTGAATGATGGTGAAAGTTTTTCTTTTTCGGGCCACCCTGCCTTGGTGGGAATTGGCCAGTGTGATAATAAAAAAAAAAAAAAAAAAAAATAATAATAATACAGTAGGGCCCTGCTTTACAGCAGTTTGGCCTAATGGCATTTCGCTAATATGTGCATTTCAAATTATGACCAAAACTTGCTATACAGCTGACCCCCCCCCCACCTGACTCGCTAATATGGTCACTGTGAGCCACCTGGTTTGTTTACTTACATCCTGCGTGAACTCAGTGTCTCCCGATTATGTCTAGAAACTTTCCAAAATTTCAAGTGTTTTAAAGTTATTGTGTACTTTATATGGACAGTAGGGCCCCGTTTTATGGCACTTCGCCCTATGGCGTTCCACTAATACGGCAATTTCAAATTATGGCCAAAACTCTCTATATGGCAACCCGTCTTTCTAATATGGCATGCCCCACCCAGTTTGTTTACATTCTCCATGAACACATCTCTCTATTATGTCTGGAAACTTTCCAAAATTTCAAGTACAGTGGAACCTCTACTTGCGAGCGTGTCCATGTGCGAGTTTTTCCAAATACGAGCAGTCGATGGGTCGATTTTTTTTGCTTCCATATGTGAGCAAAATTTCCACAAGTGAGCAGATCTCAAGGCGGGTTCCTTGACAGTGGTGAGGGGCTCTTGCTCTTGATCTCGGGTATTGTATCTCATTTGTTTGTTGGACTATCTTATTGAAACTTGGGCAATGTATGATGGAAAGATGCTTCTTAACATACATCAAAAATAAAAGAAATCTAAGCATAAATAATGGAGTTCACTTCTCAGCAATCAGCCACCCCTTAGCGGTAATTTCGAATGGTTTTTATGGTTGTATTCTCGGTTTTTTGGTCTCAATGGATAGAATGGAAGATATATTACAGAAATAGATATGATTTTGATTGCTTTCATGACAAAAAGTACCTTGAAATAGAGTTCAACCTAGGAGAAATTGTCCACTGCTTGGCTGTTTCAGAATAAATAAATGACATCACTGTCCATTCCAATATGCAGTTGTGAATGGGTTGACATTTATACAATTATTGCAATAAGGAATAACAGTCAATCTTATATTTTTTGTTTGAATAAAAATTACAAATTATTTATATAATAATAATAATAATAATAATAATAATAATAATAATAATAATAATAATATGTATAATAATAATACATCTAGGTAGTAGGTTGGTAGACAGCAACCGCCCAGGGAGGTACTACC